ATTTTGAAAAATTCAACATAATGGTTTGAAACGTCTAACGTAAACCTTTTCAAATGAAACTTTGATTTAAAAATATTTTCGAACCCTCTGGACAAGTAAAATAGGATGTAATGGATAATTTACACAACAGGTAGGACACTTAATCATCTAGTACTTAGATAGAGATATTATTTATTTTCTGGAGCTTTCAAGCCAGCAAGAGTGTTATTGTCCCTTTAAAATCGCTGCCATGAGAAAAGAGAGCGACTGAACATTATGAAACAAATTCTAAATTGGATCTTGAATTAAAATGAATCACAAAACAAATTATTCTGTAGTCAATTGTTTTATTTATTTAGGGGGATTAAGGAATCAGTCAGGCGTTAATCGTTAATGAATACACACGCCAGCTGTATATAGGTAATTAAGAAATAACCATTCCGAATATGCATTCGGTCACTGTGACGTCACTGGATTTTTCGATAATTATCGAGTGTTTTCGATAATTGGCAAAGTCGTTTTTCGGGAGGTCTATTTTTATGACTTTGAGTGAAGATAGCTGAATTAATTTCAATCAGATTGATGTGAACTTGCCGTGAAGTGGATATTTTTGGTCCATAAAAGTGTCAATTATTATTCGTTTTTCATAAAATATTCACTGTGTGATACCTAATGCCATTTATGATTTCATTCCACTAATCTAAGATTTTCATTATCACCGGAAGTAACGTCATTTTGGCAAAAACTGTATTTTTAGCCTCTAAAACAAATACTTGTTTGAAGTAAGCGATATTCATTCTACGTATAAAATTATGATATTTGATTCCTATGGACAAATAGTATTAATCAATACGATCATATTGATATCACAAAATTGTTTCTAGCATCTTCCCTTGCTGAGAAATAACCAATTTTGTCAGGATCACTTTTTAACATTTTTCTCATTTTAATTTCAGTTTATGGGTTCTGGGTTAATTATTTATTGCCTGATTTGTGTAAAAGAAAAGCCCATATGCTCCGTGTTGCAAAGTCTTAACTTTCTTCTACCAATAAAAAATTCTGTCGGTATGGAAGTGACGTAATTTTTGCCGAAAACTTGAATTTTGACGTGTCTAAAAGTGTTTTAAAAAGCAAATATCAATGTTTACAAATCTAATAGATCAAGAAGAATGCTCCTACTAAACCCGCAAAATATGTCTTGCTTAGTTTTTTTTTTATTTCGGTTTTGCATTTGCAACATTTTGATTTAAAGGTGAAAAAAGCGTTTAAAAATGAGCTATTTACAATGCATTCAGGATTTTCATATCTTAAAATATTTCTTGACAACTTTCATGAACCTGTAGCATTAATCCATAGGAAGAAAATGTATGTGAATTTTAATTTGTAATATGCGCAGTTGCCGAGAAATAGGCAATTTTCCATGACTCACTTTTCACGTTATTTAGCCTAGCTGTGAAAGAGTCAATTATCATTCGGTATTCAATTGTTTTTACCATTTGATGCCTAATGCCAATTTGGACTAGGTCAAACAATTTTAACATGTACAATGTCATCGGAAATTGCGTCATTAGGACAAAATTTGTATTTTTAGAATTCTAAACAGATATTTTATTCAAATAAGTCCGATTTGTAATGTTTTTAAAATCATGATATTTGATTCCAATCAACAAATAGATTGAACCCATACGATCATACAGATACCACAAAATGGTTTCTAACTTGTATGGTTGCAGAGAAATAGACGATTTTCTGCAAGTCACTTTTGAAGGTTTTTGGTCTATAAAAGTGGCAATTATTATTCAATTTTCATAAAATTTTCACCATGTGATGCCTGATGCCATTTATGATTTCATAGAATTAATTTAACATTTTCATTATATGGCTAATATATGGCTAATTCTGAGTCCATTTTATTTGATGTGTGCAATGCTTATGTTGAAACATGTTAAATGGTTTCATTGGTCCCGGATGTGGCATAAGCCAAGGGTAACGTGGCACCAGTGAAACCCGTCATTACTGCATCGCAGTTCTAGTTATAGTTGTGTTCATGGATGCAAATTAAGCTGATATTGTGAGCTGTCAATGTTCAGAATGTTATTTGTAAGGAAAGTCCTTTCTTCAAGCAATATGTGACCGGCCGCACCTAAATGAGTCGGAATGCGGGAGAATCTATAATGAGATAAAGACAAAATAAGTGAAAATATTGATTTTGAATGAAATTGAAATTTTCACAAAAATGAGTCTATAAATATACTATCTATCGACACAGAAGATCAAAATAGCAATAAAACATTTTAAAACACCTGTATTTGAACGTTTTGTAAGAGTACTGTATTCTTAAATCTGTCCTATTTCTCAAAATTCTTGGCGAAATTAGTTATTTTTCTTCGCTTGCAGTGGGACGACCGGTCATTCCTCTTGCATAACAATTGGCATCGTTGTAAAGCGGAACATCTCTAGTTTATAAATATGACCAAAATATTGTTGATGCATTGATTTTGAACGGATACAATCGAGTTTTAAAAACCTCCAAAAATATAAATAAACTCCGCCTGTTGCCATGCTGTCCACACAACTCCTTTGCTGATTTGGTTTTGGCAATGTTTTTGGGTACCTACATGCGATTCATTCTGATAAGTGGCAGAAAAAAAAATTAATTCTGATCGTATAGATTGCCGTTGAGTGTTAATTGAAACCACGTGGCTGATGATGTAAATTAATCGACAAGCGGGTGTGTGTCATTGAGTAATACTATTACTAATCAACTGTCACGGGTCAATAATTAATCCAAGTGGTGATTGTTTGATATCTCATATCATCTTTAAAAAAAAAAATCTCTAGGCCTTAAATCGAAATAAACAAGCCAACAGTGAGGCTGATGTCCCCCGCCGAAATAGGAAAATAATTAGAGGACACATATAAAAATCAAATTGCGTATCGCTCTGCTTACCCTGAGCAGAAAATGCTCATTATCAAACTTAGTCAAGGTATTACTGTAATGAAACTATACACCAAGTTTCATCAATCTCACTTAATTAGAACTAAAGTTATCGTGTCCCAAAGCATCAACCAATCAAATTGCTTATCTCTGCTTACCCTAAGCGGAAAATGCTCATCTTCGAACTCCATCAAGGCATTGACCTAATCAACACATACACCAAGTTTGAACATTCTAGCTCAATTAGGAAGAGAGTTATCGTGCCCCAAAGTTTTAACCAATCAAATTGCTTATCTCTGCTTACCCTAAGCGGAAAATGCTCATCTTCGAACTCCATCAAGGCATTGACCTAATAAACGCATACACCAAGTTTGAACATTCTAGCTCAATTAAAAGTTATCGTGTCCCAAAGCATCAACCAATCAAATTGCTTATCTCTGCTTACCCTAAGCGGAAAATGCTCATCTTCGAACTCCATCAAGGCATTGACCTAATCAACACATACACCAAGTTTGAACATTCTAGCCCAATTAGGAAGAGAGTTATCGTGTCCCAAAGCATCAACCAATCAAATTGCTTATCTCTGCTTACCCTAAGCGGAAAATGCTCATCTTCGAACTCCATCAAGGCATTGACCTAATAAACACATACACCAAGTTTGAACATTCTAGCTCAATTAGGAAGAGAGTTATTGTGTCCCAAAAAGTGTGACGGACAGACAGACGGACGGACAGACGGACAGACAGACGGACAGACAGACGGACGAACCCATTTTAATAGTCCCCTGCTTTCTTCGAAAGGCGGGGGACAACAAAATGGCCAATAATGTTCTTTTCGAAGAGAATTTTATTGATAGCTGAATTCCATTTAACGTCGCTTCTTCATACGGCATGCAAAGTAAGGAATGCATTTGGGATATTATTGTTTAAAATTCTCTTATCACAATGGGTCGAAAAATTGAGAACGACCAACGAGCCGAAATGCGACGATTCTCAAGTCTGCCATTGAGTATCCTCTGAATAATGTTGATATTTACATCAAAGCCAAAATGCACGAAAGTGAACGTAAGCATTGACTATGAAATTGACATTTCTATAGGGACTCATATTTTGATAACGTACCTGAAAATAATAATAATAATTCACGTGTTAAATGAACACGCGTACAGCTCTTGCGGCTTCTTTGATGATTATCCAATCAACAATCTTAATCTCCTGACCACTAGCTGGCACTAAGGTGCTAATTAGTTGATGAAATTAACTGAGTTAATCTCACTAAAGTTATATCATACACAACAGACTACTAATGTATAGATTGTTCTTCAGTATAACACTATCATGTGAATATTATGCCGTATGTGTTGTGGATGTTTCGTTACGAAAGGAGTGCATTTATTACGATTTTCGTCGTCAGCACTCTTGAAATCCTTAATAAAAAACATATTAAACGACAAAATATAGCAAATAAATTGCGGAAATAGTCGGATCAAATTTTTACTACGATTTTCGTCTTCAGCACCCCTGAAAACCCATGGAAAGATATACTCAACGACAAAACAGCAGATAAATGGCCTTGTTGCTATGGGATTTTGTTTGGGAACATACCAAATCTTTGACTTGCTTTTTCTCAAAACTTACTTTTGTGAGTTGGGTAGCTTCTAATGGACACAGCTCAGTCAAGTTTTGCCCAATTTAAACAAACTATACATCAAATTGAAGGTAATGAGTTGGTAACAATAACTCAAGTATGCTGTGGGGGGTCACATATGTCAGTGTGCATCACCTGGATAATTGATGCTAACTTTATGACACATGTAATTATAGCCCAAATGATGGAAACAATATTTTATGAATTCTTTTGTTACTTTCATTATACTGTAAATTCTCTAATGTCCCTGTAAAGAGACTCGGGTTATGTTAATATTAGATTGTGTTACATTATTAGTTATATTAATAATTTTAATTATCTTATTAGTTACATTAATAATTTAGAACTTCAATCAATACATGCTTTTTCAGTTGTCTACTGTTTTATAATTTTTTTTTTATAGTTTTTAAGAAATACGATTATAGAATATACTTACTGGTATAATATGGCCTTCAGTTTTAATACGGGATTTACGTGTGAATACACAGTCCATTAATTGATTTTCAAATCCAGCAAAATCATAGGTCTCCTATAATATATTTTTTCATTGTTTGAATTACATAAATATATGTAATAGGTTGCCAGGCAACGAAACATATGCCACACAGCAGCTAAATCGTACGGGCAGTCAACAAGAGTTGTGGCATATTTTTACTTTTTCAGTAATGAAACATTTATAATACACTAAAATCTGATTAAGAGTAACAACTCATTAAGGAATTATCAGAAAATCATTAGAATTTGTTTTTTTTATAAATTTCTGCCCCATACGTTTAGTATACGAAATATTTAATATCATGGATTTAGCTGTTCAAGTTATCAAAATTCATTGAAAATCAATATACTTGTTCGTTTCAAGACCTTAAACACTGTGTATCAATCTGAAGTCAATCGGATGATAACATAAGCCTCGAGAGCGTCACAAAAATTTTCAAAGTGATCAAGGGCCATAACTTTGGCAGTAATTATCGGAAATCGTTGAAAATCAATAGGACTCTTTGTCTCCTGACCTCAAACACTGCGTATAAATTTAAAGTCTGGCAGTAATTATTCGAAATTGCTGAAAATCAATAGACTTCTTCGTCTCATGACCTTAAACACTGTGTTAAATTTAAAGTCAATCGGATATTAACTTTCGCCTCTAGAGCGTCCATAAGATTTTTTGAAGTGATCAAGGGCCATAACTCTGGCAGTAATTATCGGAAATCGCTGAAAATCAATAGGCTTCTTCGTCTCATGTCTTTAAACACTGTATATAAATTTAAAGTAAATCGGATATTAACTTTCACCTCTAGAGCGTCCACCAGACTTTTTGAAGTGATCAAGGGCCATAACTCTGGCAGTAATTATCGGAAATCGCTGAAAATCAATAGGCTTCTTCGTCACATGAGCTTAAACACTGTATATAAATTTAAAGTCAATCGGATATTAACTTTAGCTTCTAGAGCATCCATAATTTAAGAAGTTACGGTCCGATATGCACGAATATCGAAAGGAACCAAGATCTTTGGGTTATAAATTTACATTTCAAGTTTTATCAAAATAGAAGTAAAATTGTGACCTCTATAGGGTCCACAACCTTGATATACCATATTTTTACGCTATTTGAGGACGAAGGGCGGCCATTTTGTCTGTCAGTTTTGGGCCGATTTTCACAAAATTCAAACTCAGTCATCCTTAGGGTGTAATGGTGATATAATAATAGTTTTTTTTAAATCGGATAAAAATTATGACCTCTATAGGGTCCACAAGCTAAAAACACGATTTTTCGTACAATCTGGGGCCATAATTCAGGAAGTTACGGTCCAATATACGCGAATATCGAAAGGAAACGAGACCTTTGGGTTATAATCTTACATTTCAAGTTTCAACAAAATCAGATAAAAATTGTGACCTCTATAGGATCCACAACCTTTATATACCATATTTTGACGCTATTCGAGAAGGAAGGGCGGCTATTTTGTCTGTCAGTTTTGGGCCGATTTTCACGAAATTCGAACTCAGCCATCCTTCGGGTGTAACGGTGATATAATACATTTTTTTAAATCAGATAAAAATTATGACCTCTATAGGGTCCACAAGCCAAAAACGCGATTTTTCGTACAATCTAGGGCCATAATTCAGGAAGTTACAGTCCGATATGCGCGAATATCGAAAGGAGCCGAGATCTTTGGGTTATAAACTTACATTTCAAGTTTCAACAAAATCGGATAACCAGCGGCTGCCAGGCAGGATACGCGCACATTTTCGAGAGATGGATAGAGAACAAGCTAAAAAGAAAGTGATTTTTCCTACAATCAAAGGCAATAATTCAGGAAATTACAATTCGGTATGCGCAAATATCGAAAGGAACCGCGATCTTTGTGTTATAAACTTATATTTCAAGTTTCAACAAAATCGGATTAAAATTGTGACCTCTATAGGGTCCACAGCCTTAATATACCATATTTTTACGCTATTTGAGAACGAAGGGCGGCCATTTTGTCTGTCAGTTTTGGGCTAATTTTCACGAAATTCGAACTCGGCCGTCCTTAGGGTGTAACGGTGATATAATAATACGTTTTTTTAAATCGGATAAAAATTATGACCTCTATAGAGTCTACAAGCTAAAACCGTGATTTTTCGTACAATCAGGGGCCATAATTCAGGAAGTTACGGACCGATATGCGCAAATATCAAAAGGAACCGAGATCTTTGGGTTATAAACTTACATTTCAAGTTTCAACACAATCGGATAAAAATTGTGACCTCTATAGGGTCCACAACCTTGATTTTCCATATTTTTACGCTATTTGAGAACGAATGGCGGCCATTTTGTCTGTCAATTTGGGCCGATTTTCACGAAATTCGAACTCAGCCGTCCTTTGGGTGTAACGGTGATATGATAATACGTTTTTTTAAATCGGATAAAAATTATGACCTCTATAGGGTCCATAAGCTAAAATTACGATTTTTCGTACAATCAGGGGCCATAATTCAGGAAGTTGTGGTCCGATATGCGCGAATATCGAAAGAAACCGAGATCGTTGGATTATAAACTTACATTTCAATTTTCAGCAAAATCGGATAAAAATTGTGACCTCTATAGGGTCCACAAGCTAAAAACGTTATTTTTCGTACAATCAGGGACCATAATCCATGAAGTTTCGATCCGATACATGCCAATATCGAGAGCAGCAGAGATCTTTTGGGGATAAACCTATATTTCAAGTTTCGTCAAAATTGGATAAAAATTGTGACCTGTAGAGAGTCGACAAACAATTGTGGAAAAATTGTGACCTCTATAGGGTCTACAAGCTAAAAACGTGATTTTTCGTACAAACAGGGCCCATAATCCATGAAGTTTCAATTCGATACATGCCAATATCGAAAGCAGCCGAGGTCTTTTGGAGATAAACCTACATTTCAAGTTTTGTCAAAATCGGATAAGAATTGTGACCTGTAGAGTGTCCACAAACAAATTGTGGACGTCCGGACGACAATATACGTCCACATGAAAATGTGGGCTTATAAAAAGTAAATAACATAGCTAACCTCTGTTCCACAATTCTCAAGTTGGAATGAATAATTACAGTTACTGATAACTAATGGTAGAATATCCTTTTCCAGATGGAAAGCTATCAAATGATAAGAACTAATATCCTTCATTTCAACTACTGGTAAATCTTCAAATCTTAAAAACAAAAAAAAACAGACAAAAACTGAACGTAAATTTGTGTTATCATATATACCGTTGGTAAATTATACTAAAAGGAACAGACAATTTTTGATTATGTTTAAAATAAAATGATAAATGGATTACTTCAATTAGTGGTGGAGCAATATACAATTCAGCAATTTTTTCACTAATTTTGCTTTTGTTTTTTGTCTAAAACTACTGCTGAACACAAAACCTGTTTTACAGGTTGTGATATGATAAATAGTCATGGACGCTTGACATGCTTTGAGAGTATGTTCACAGATGAAGAACTTATCGGCCCAACAGAACCACCGAGCTTTACGTGCGACACGCAATAGCGCCATACACGTGGGAGAAGTTCATTGTCAAATTTGACACTTCAAGGAAGGGTTGATGAAAACTGCCGCGTGCTGGTTTATCCTATCCATGTTTGCTTTCCTATCGGTTCTTCCATAAGATTTACTGTTTAGCGTATCTTTGCTTTTGTGTGTTATGTTTAATTTGCAATTAGACGTCTTCAACATGTTGAATGTCTACATGCTATTGGCATGCTTCAAATGGGTTCTACACAGCGAGCAGTAGCCAACATGCTTAATGTGTCACAGTCTGTGATCAGCAGACTGTGGAACCGGTACCAACAAACACACAATGTTGATGATAGACCTTGTTCAGGTCGTCCTAAAGCCACTACACAAGCCCAGGATCGATACATTTGTACACAGGTCCTGCGTAATAGAGGACAAACGGCAAATCAGTTTTCTGTAAACTTATACCAAGTTACAGGAATTCGACATACACCCCACACGATTAAAAATCAACTACATGCAGCCCGTTTGCATGCATGACGACCGCATGTTGTGCCTCCATTAACTCGCCAGCACATGGTAAATCTGGCGTAAATGGTGTAGGCAGCGTAGAAATCGGGCTAATTGTCGATGGGTGCGTGTAATGTTCTTAGATGAGTCCAGATTTACTCTGGATTTCACCGATAGGCGTGCTCGCGTTTGGAGGCGTGTAAATGACCGTCATGCTAACGTTAACGTCAGACAGCATGACAGATTCGGGCGTGGGGTCTGTTATGGTGTGGGGAGGAATCACCATGACTGGCAGAATGGACTTGCATATTGTTCAAGGAAGGGTCACAGTGTGTACTACCGTCACCACATGCTGGCAATGATAGGTCTGCCCTTTGCTCAAAGTGCAGGTCGACGTTTCATCTTTCAATATGATAATGCGTGTGCCCACCGCGCTCGTGTCGTGAATGACTACCTCCGGCGTCACCATATTGTCCATATGCATTGGCCAGCCATTAGTTCTGACCTTTCCCCTATAGAGCATGTCTGGGACATGATCAGGAGACATGTTCGTCGACGTCAACATCAACAGACAACACTGCAAGAATTGACCGTGGCACTGCAAGAGGAGTGGGTCACATTGCCCCAAATCGTTATTGGACGGTTGATTAGGAGTATGCCACGACAAATTGCTGAATGTCTGAGTGAAATGGGGCCGTCAGATAAGCCGCCCATATGTTCATGTGTAGGCAGTTGGCCTGTTATGAACATACACTGGTTACCTCTAATAAAAACAGCAGTGCATTTCTGCAGTTTTGTATTGTTTCTGAATATCCCCTACTTTTATTGAAGAGTATATTTAAACGGTTTTTAAAATCGGAAAAAAAACTGTGCCCTCTAGAGAATTCACAAGCTAAATATGTGATTTTTCAAACAGTCAGGGGCCATAATCCAGGAAGTTTCGTTTGGATGTGCACGATTATCAACAGGAACCAAGATCTTAGAGTGTTACAGTGATATATTCATACGTTTTTTTAAATCGGATAAAAATTGTGACCTCTAAATGGGACCACAAGCTAAAAACGTGATTTTTTGTACAATCAAAGACCATAATTCAAGGAGTTAAGATCGATATGCGCGAATATTGAAAGCGACCAAGATCTTTGGGTTATAATCATGTATTTCAAGTTTCATCAAAATCGGATCAAAATTGTGACCTCTAGATGGTCAAAAACCTTGATATACCAGATGTTTACACTATATATTTGCGTATGAGTTGCGGCCATTTTGTCCAGCAGTTTTTGCCTGATTTTCGAACTCAACCAACATTATGGTGTAACGGTGATATATTCGAACGTTTTTTTTAAATCGGATAATAATTGTGACCTTGTACAATCCGGGGCCATAATCCATAAAGTTATAGTCCGATACATGTCAATATCGAAAGAAACCAAGACCTTTGGGAGATAGACCTATATTTTAAGTTTCGTCAAAATCGGATAAAAATTGTGACCTGTAGATTGTCCACAAACAAATTGTGGACGGACGAACAGGAACGACGGCATAATACGTCCATGTTCACAAGAAATGTGGATGACTATATAAACCTTATTAATCCTGAACATGATGTACTTTTACAGTGAGAGAGAAACAGAAATGGGCTTTTAAACATCTACTCGACACCAACTAGGTCAATTTGGAACTAACATATGGTTCAATTTTATTTTAATAATTCGCAAGCACGTCGGGTTCTTTAGCAGTGCAAGAAAACTGGAGGATCCAGAGAAAACCCACGAGGTTGGACAGATGACCCTACTCCTTGTCACGTACAACCGGGGAATAGATACTTTTACAGTAGTTTGGCCAATATACAGTGTAATGTTACAATATTGTTATATTTACACTTGAAAAGTTTACAGTACACACTGTTAAATATAGATCTGCATAGATGAATACAAACAAGCCAACAGTGAGACTATGTCCCCCGCATAGATGACACATATTAATTAATCGCACATTTATTTTTTTCAAAAGTATCGATCAATCAAACTATACACTAAGTTTCAACACTCTTTATCAGATAGAATCAAGATTATCTTGTTCAAAAGCATCGACCAATGAAATTGATTAGCTCTGCTTAGCTTCAGCTCAAAATGTTAATCATTGAACTCAGTCATGACATGAAAGCAGAAAATGTTCATTATAGAACTTAGTCAAGGTATCAATGTAATAAAGCTATACACCTGGGCCCGGTTCCTAGAAAATTCTTACAGTAAGCACAAAGTCATGCTTCACTTTTTCTTACGTAAGACTTATAAAAATACCGTCCCTAGAAAATTCTCAAGACCATTCTTACGAAAGCACAAGTTAAGTATAAGTCTAAGCACATTGTGACTGGTAAAGTTTACCATAAACTGAGACTACGGTGCTCTTTAATGTCATAAAAACAACTTTGGTATGCGAATTACGTCTTAAATTTGTCGTCTGCTTCATTGACGTCATATATATATATATGGTTCATTTCGATGCATTTGACATGTCCCCTATTCACATATAAAATGTGCAACAAGATAAAAAAAACGCAGACACATACAAACTAACTGAATAATTGTGAGAGCGCCTGATCTTAAAGTAGCCTGTGTGTTAAGTTTAAACAATATTTTATTCAATAAACTGAAATGGATTGAACAACAGGCAAAGGCCTATATAAATTTGTAGCCTATTGTTTATGCCTACTAATTGGCAAATAAATAAAATGGTTTCAGGGTAGGCCCAGAAGCCAATTTTGCTATAGCATTCTTAATTTAAAATTTCTTCTGGAGAAGGATTTTCTCTGTCTTGTAATTGTCTCTTTGGTATCAAAAGGTGTCGGAAATGCCATCGAATAACTCTACGGTCAGCCATCTTTTTGAAGCAGAAACAGACATAAGGTTGGTAAGCAAGCCATATACCTTGCTTGGGACTTGTGCTTAGATTGACTATGTTTAAGAACGAAGTTGTGCTTAAGTTTTTTCTTGGAATGCATAATAACGTTCTTGTGCTTACAATGAAGTCTGCTTAAAATCTAAGCACAAAAACGTTCTTAAGAATTTTCTGGGAACACAAAATAAGGTAAGTTTACTTAAATGCAAAGTCTACTTAAATCTAAGCACAAGAACGTGCTTAAGAATTTTCTAGGAATCGGGCCCAGGTGTCCTCACTCTCACTTAATTAGAACTATATAAAGTTATCATGTCTCAAAGCATCAACCAATCAAATTGCTTATCTCTGCTTACCCTGAGCAGAAAATTCTCATCTCCGAACTCCATCAAGGCATTCACCTAATAGATACCTACGCCAAGTGCGAACATTCTAACTCAATTAGAATGAGATCGTTATTGTGTTCCAAAGTCTCGACCAATCAAATTGCTTATCTCTGCTTAACCTAAGTACAAAATGCTCATCTTCGAACTCCATCAAGACATCGACCTAATAAAGACCTACACCAAGTTTAAACATTCTAGCTCAATTACACGTGTAAGCTGATACCGTCGACTTATGAAGCTAGGCCTTTTAGTAATGACAATTTTAGTCATTAAATCATATAAGTGGTCAGTAATCTAAACTAATGTTCACTGTGTATAGAAAGTGGTTAGAAATTATACATTTGTCATTAATTAGCAAGTGTATGTAACTAGCTGTAAAAAATGTGACTATTTAATTATAACACCCATCACTATTGAATACACAAACCTAAACAATAGTGGTGTATATCATTTAATAGTCACAGTTTTAACACCTTAGTGACAAAACTATGAGTACTGCCTGATTACTAACAGTTTTAACTAATACACATTATGTATATAAACTGAAGACTTTGATCTATTAGTGTCGTATATTTTCATTTATAACAGTTATTCGTTGCTTAGTCACCGATATCAAAGTCTCGGCCAATCAAATTGCTTATCGCTCTGCTTACCCTGAGCTGAAAATGCTCATTATCGAACTTAGTGAAGGTATTGATGTAATGAAGCTATACACCAATTTTCATCACGCTCACTTAATTAGAACTAAAGTTATCATGTCCCAAAGCATCAACCAATCAAATTGCTTATGTCTGATTACCCTAAGCAGAAAATGCTCATCTTCGAACTCCATCAAGGCATTGACCTAATAAGCACCTACACCAAGTTTGAACATTCTAGCTCAATTAGAAAGAAAGCGATTGTGTCCAAAAAAAGTGTGATAGACAGACGGACGGACAAACGGACAGATGGACAAACCCAATTTAATAGTCCCCTGCTTTCTTCTAAAGGCAGGGGACAATAATACTACACTAAATCTTACATACCTCTGTTTAGTAAGTAAACAATAACTTTCTAAACAGCTGTTATGTTTACGAAGTAAATACTCAGTCATCACATATGAACAGATTCCTGGGCCTTTAACAGATGGTAAGATAAAGTCTAGCTTAGTTGACTGGTCGATCTTCATATTGTGGAATTCTTCTGGAATTACCAGCCTTTTTCCGTCCCTTAATTGACACACTGAAATTTAACACATATTCATGCTTATCTTCATGATATTTTGATCTTAAATCAGAAAGTGTCCTCTTAATTTCTCGGATATTTACAAACAATATAAATTTAGCATGATGCTCAAAAACAAGACCGTAACTTTAAAACAAATTCAACTATGTACCTTCCTGATAATTCAAAAGGATTTCATTAATTGCTGGAGGACAGCACTACACATAACATTTGCAACGAACAGGTGTAATATTTCAGACCATATTGTGGCCGGAGGTTGCAGCTAATTATTATATTATACCAGGTTAAGCTTTCAGTACAGATTGCTTTACCAGACAAAGGACCTTACCTAACTAACTGCAGGGGTCAAAATTCACGACTGCACCCGGGCAATTGCCGTAGTATTTAGCGAAATTGCCGTAGAAAATAAATAATAACTACGGCATATTTAGCCGGATATGAAGATATGTTTTAAGTTTCGGATAAAAATTGTGACCTCTAGAGGGTCCACAAAATTGGTATTACATACTTTTACACAATTTGCTTATAAAGAGCGGCCATTTTGAAGGGCAGTTTCATTTCAATTTTCCCGAAATTCGAATTCAACCATCAATATGGGGGAATGGTGATATATACTCTTAAAAAAAAGTAGGGGATATTGAAATGCAAATACCTATGCAGGCTGTGATATGATAAATAATCATAGACACTTGACATGCTTTGAGAGTATGTTCACAGATGAAGAACTTATCGCCCCAACAGAACCACTGAGCTGCATGTGCAACACGCAATAGCGCCATACACGTGGGAGGGGTTCATTGTCAAATTTGACACTTCAAGGAACGGTTTATGAAAACTGCCGCTTGCTGGTTTATCCTATCCATATTCCATGTTTGCTTTCCTATCGGTTCTTGCATAAGATTTACTGTTTAGCGTATCTTTGCTTTAGTGTGTTACGTGTAATTTGATCAGGAGACGTGTTCGTCGACGTCAACGTCAACTGACAACACTGCAAGAATTGGCCATGGCACTGCAAGAGGAGTGGGTCAGATTGTCCCAAATCGTGAATGGACGGTTGATTAGGAGCATGCCACGACGAATTGCTGAATGTCTGAGGATTGGTGGAGCAATTACTCATTATTAAGACAAAAATAAAAAACGTCCATTTTCACTTTTGACAGTGTATCTCTTTGCGTGTGAAATGAGGCCGTCCGATAAGCCGCTCATATGAACCGTTTATGTTTATGTTCATGTGTAGGCAATTGGCCTGTTATTAACATACACTGGTTACCTCTAATAAATACAGCAGTCCATTTCCGCAGTTTTATATTGTTTCTGAATATCCCCTACTTTTTTTTGAAGAGTATATTGTGACCTCTAGAGAATTCACAAACTAAAAATGTGATTTTTCAAACAGTCACGGGCCATAATCTAGGAAGTTTCGTTCGGATATGCGCGATTATCAAAAGGAACCAAGAAGTGTAACGGTGATATATTCACACGTTTTTTTTTAAATCAGATAAAAATTGTGACCTCTAAATGGGACAACAAGCTAAAAACGTGATTTTTTGTACAATCAAGGACCATAATTCAGGGAGTTACGATCGATATGCGCAAATATCGAAAGCGACCAAGATCTTTGGGTTATAATCATGTATTTCAAGTTTCATCAAAATCGGATCAAAATTGTGACCTCTAGATGGTCCAAAACCTTGATATACCAGATGTTTACACTATATATTTGCGTGTGAGGGATGGCCATTTTGTCCAGCAGTTTTGGCCCGATTATGGTGTAACGGTGATATATTCAAACATTTTTTGTGACCTCTAGAGGGTCCACAAGCTAAAAACATTATTTTTCGTACAATCTGGGGCCATAATCGATAAAGTTATCGTCCGATACATGCTAATATCGAAAGGAACCAAGATCTTTGGGAGATAGACTTATATTTTAAGTTTCGTCAAAATTGGATAAAAATTGTGACCTGTAGAGTGTCCACAAACAAATTGCGGACGGACGGACAGGGACGACGTCATAATACGTCCACATGAAAATGTGGGCGTATAATTAAAACACAGACATTTTAAGCCATAAATAAATATCAGAGAGAGAGAGAGAAATGGGGTTTAACGTCCACTCGACACAAACTAGGTAATTTCGGGACTAACATATGGTTCAATTTCATTTCCATAATTCGCTTGCGCGTAGATGTTTTTAGCAGTGGGAGGAAACCGGAGGACCCGGAGAAAACTCACAAGGTTGGACAGGTGACCCTACTCCTTGTCACGTACAACAGGGGATTCGAAACCACGGCAGTTGACTCAATGACAGGCCTTATTATGATACAGCGTGCAAATAAATATCAAAATTATAAAAGATAAAAATGTAGCCTGTAGAATGTTCACAAGAAATGTGGATAACTGACTGAAGCAACCGTGGAACACAGGTGACATACCACCACATTTCAACTTTGGTGTATAAAAAAGATTCAATTTTTAATATTCAATTCAAGCATTACTTACCATGAGAGATAAGTTTTTCCTTAATAGTTTCCCAAGTCCGAATAAGATTTTCCAATTGTAAAACCATTTCATTATTACCTGAAACACAAAAACAGAGATCTGATGAGAGTGTTTTCTCTCTGGTTATCATGACTATAGTCAACAAACTGAACTGTGAAGATAACCTTTAATACTAATAGGTAGGTAAATCATGTACAAAGTTTTAAATGATCCTTGCAAAACCTGACTTATCTGAAAAGTTATAAAGTTTTTCTTACCATCAAAGTATTTCTTTAAAACAGTTTCTATAGTTAAATATTGAGCTTCACTTCTGTCAATTTGACGACAGAATATCTGCATCAGAGTGTGTTGTAATCTTATTATGTCTGGTAAAAACTGTAAGACTTGTAGATAATATTTCTGAAATTCACAATTTTAAAAATATTAATCTTTGTAGCTGTAATAAACAATGCATTACATACAATAATTTACAATAACTATGTGAATAAGCATACATGTAAAGTATAACATGGTGTTGCCAGGCAAAGAAAATGTAGCGCCCTCCAGTTAGTCTCGGTCACCCAGAACCTCCTAGTCTTCAACATACAGAGGGTCTGGGAAAGTTGTCAATATTTGACGTAAAGTCCATTGCCCATGCGTAACCGGGAGTTTGGTTTTTAATGTGGTTGATTATCCAGTCTCTTTAGCCAAGTCAAGTAAGAGTTGTGCCCCTTCCCACATGAATCGTGACGACGAATTAGGATTAATTTTCAAAGCATAGATATGGCCCATGAAGAGAGAAATCTTACAATAAAAAATTAAGAGTGTTAGATATCACATGGATTTTTTGAAATGACACTCTTAAATTAATTTCATGGGTGTAAACATCTTGTTTAAAAGGATTTACCTCCCTTAGACGTTGTTTATGACAATGTTATAGACCAGATTATCTAGCCAATTTTTCTCAAATGTTGACAACCCATCCAGACTAATATTCGTAGAATATTTTTCTGGATAGAGACTACCTCCAGTAGGTTGGAAAGGGGGGAGCAATGTCACAGGACGTTAATCTGTCAAACTGCACAAGAACAACACAACAATCAAAGATGTCAAAGAGAGTATAAGAATAAACATAAGGTTAACATAAATACAAAACTGTCAATTAAGTGAACCTACCACAGGACATCCCACAGACACCTCCTGCCTGATGCCCACCATAAGGCCACAAATATCCAGAGTTTATGTAGACAACAATGTGATTTAGAATGCAAAGTAAAACCCCCACTGTTATGTTGTCTAATTTGTTTAATTGTAGATATTTCCCAATCAGAAACACAAGGTGACATTACAACATTACGTTCAAGATAACTTTATTACCAGAGAGCTAGAAAGGGCACATAACTTTATAGGGTTCGGACCATAAACCTCCCCCAAGATTTTTAGAGCTAATGTCATTCTTTGGCTTGTAAATGGTTCTGCCAGATCTTGTCTTGAGCACTTCTTTAGGCTTGATAGGTTTTGAATTGACTGCTGTACCTTTTGTATTGACTTCTGTACCTCTAACTCCCCCAGATCCAGGAGGGATCGGCATTGATCAATAGGGTCTGTCTGATGTGTTGACGATTGCGTCGAACAGTAATTCCGGGGTTGAGAGCTTCACCAGGTATGAGCGATGTGGCATTACCTTCGTGATTTTGCCCAGTAACGTAGTATGGTGTTGGACTAGAGATAACGGGAATGATCGCTGGTTGTACCATTGCTGGTGCTTGTTCTTGGAATACTGCTGATGTTGAATTCGACGGTCATCGGGTATTGCCCACTTCTTGTGGAATGCTGACGGGTGACGTTGTAGGGTATCTTAATTAACATATATACAGCTAGGCGACAGGCTAATAGACTGGCAGCCAAGGTTTGATTAACTTAAGATTGAGGACCAAGGTTTGGGCATACATAAGACTTTATTAAGGCATATAATATACATAATGAAAGAAAATGCACCAATGCAAACAATAAAGTCTGATAAGCAAAGACTCCAAGGCCCAAACCTGAATTCATTATTTATTATTGTAACTTGTGTTTAAGTGTTTAGCCATAGTAGACACAACCTGTAGACGACGAGAAGGCGTAGGGTCTAGGTAACGTTTATAGCAGTCGCTGACCCAGTCACCCTGAACTTGAATAAGATCAGCAGGGACATCACAATTAAAGGCAAACGAAGCACCTCCTCGCTGAAAACTATGTCCAGCATACTTAGAAGGATCGATGCCAATTTTCCCAAGACATTGACGAAGGATAGATACAAATTGGGAGTATTTTAGTGAAATCAAGTGACCTGAGTGAAAGTAGGAGAAGGCAGGGGCAGTAGGAGGGGCTGGATTATTAACAAAGGCTCTCTGACAAGCCATGACAGGACAAAGGAGAGAGTTGGGGACCCTAGGTATAGGAATTAATAGTTCACGTTGCTGATATTGAATGACTTTTGACCAACGAACTTTAAGGAGGCAAACATTATGAAGGAAAGTAAAATCAGACCGTAATAAACAAGATAACTGGGAGGGTAGGTTCGGATCAAAAAACAAGTTTGATTTGCGAAAAAATGAAAAGAATGCAACAAGGCAGGCAGCTCAAAAAATTTGATCAAAAAAATTGCCCAAATTAATTACTGCGAGAATACGTTCTAAAATGCTAGGTGTAATAGGTAGCTTGGGTGAGATGTGGTGACCCAACTGTCGACAAACACCTCTTAAAAAAATGGAAACTGTCCAAACGGCAAGGGGGTCGGGCAGCCTGGCTTGTTTATGAAGTAATTTAACAATATTAAGGTAGGCAATTATTGAGTTAAATGACAAAAACTTGCAAAGCCAAGTAATATAACAACATAAATCCTGAGCAGTTATTGGTAATGGAGAAATGTGAGCTTTCTTACAAAAGTGAAGGTAAGTGCACAATTGAGTTAAGTAAGTTTTTTTGGTATTCGGTGCAAAGCAAAATCCATAGGTTGAGGCTACTTGGTTATCAAGTTTCTTAAGCATTGTTGATCGTGCATTTCCTGCAAAAGAAATTGTTCAGTTTGGATAGACATATGACCAGTGCAAAGAGAATGATTAATACAATGAGTGGGGAATAGTCTTTGCATATGGCCAGGCAAATGTAAACGAGATATATGATCAGCTAAGGTATTGCAACTGCCAGGGATGTGACAGGCTGTAACATGAAAATTAAAAATAACAGACAACCAAAATAACTGCCTTAAACAATGCATAATTAAGTTATTAGTGCGACAAGAACCCTTATTTATACAAAACACAGTAAAGGCATTATCAGAATATATAACAACTCTGCGATTGGCAAGGTAGGGAGCCCACCGAAATAGAGCAATTATTACTGTCATTGTTTCTTTGAAGTTTATGTGTAAGGGAGATATCATTGGAAAGTCAGCACGCCAGTTCACATAAAACCAGTCACCTGAGAAGAAACCGCCACCGGAATCTTGACAAGCATCAGTCAATAAAGAGGTCACAGGAAGTTTATCGAGCATAAGTGATGTCCCATTAAAATGTTCCATACACTGGTGCCACCATTGGATATCAGCTAACAGGCTACTTGACATGCGAATGCGATGATTTTTGTGTGCTAAGCAATTAATAACGTTTAAAATCCGCCGAACAAAAACTCGTCCGCCACGAACAACGCTAGCTGCAAAATTCAACTTCCCTGCTAATGACTGCAATTGGCGTTTTGATATGCGAGATTTGGTTAAAGTAGCTGGGAGCAACTCCTTGAGGGAATGTAATTTGTCATTAGGTAATGTTAGTGTCATATCCACTGTATTTATTTGGATCCCAAGAAATGTCAGAATTTTACACGGATCAACAACCTTCTTCCAATTAATATTAAATCCAAGGGAGCGTAGAAGCTGAAGAAGCACTGCATAAGTTTCATGACAAATCTCTTTACTGCTGGAACAGATGAGAAAATCATCCAAATAAACAACCATCCCGGGATAGCCGAGTCGGCACATGATTCGCCGAACAGCTTGAGTGAGGCGATGAAATATTCCAGGGCTTTGTTTTGCACCAAAGGGTAGTTTATGATCATAAAAATAGTGCCATGAACCATTGATCCACCACTTTAGGCCAGTTACATGACAACTTTGAGAGTTAATTGGTACAGAGCGGTAAGCTGCTTTAAGGTCTATTTTTGCCAAATAGAAGTCTTTTTCGATTAATCGGACAGCATCATCAATAGTCTGATATTTGTGGTGGTCCAGGGTTGAAACGTAATCGTTCAAAGATTTCCCTTCAGGAAAACTGCAATCATGGATAAGACGAATTTCCGTACCCCCTGGTTTGGGGACAAAACTAATAGGGCTGATGATGGTAGGCTTTGAACTACCGCAATTGTAAACAGGAATATAATTTCCATTTTCAACCTCAGTTAAAACTGCCTTGGTAGCTAGATCAAAAAATTCTCCCTTTATTGAAGCTGATGTATGGTTAAGAGTTCTCGACAGGTTCAGGCAATGCATCATTGTCAATAAGTGAAAAGCCATTTTTTATGCCATGCAAGATGAAGTCGCGATCTGAATCATTTTCCAAATATTTAGTCCACAGGGACAAGCAAGTATGAACTCCACGGTTCGCTGCAGGAGGCGAGGGGATTAAAGTGGATTCGTGCCCCGAGGGGGCTGCTGACCGTTTTTTGAAGCATGAGAAATGGCAGAGTGAAATTGGGAACATCCAGGTATGAAGCACACATGCTTAAATTCAGTTTCTGCAAATTATATCACCACTTGGGGTGAAAGCACTCACATTGGTCTGCTTGTATAGGCTGGAACTACTGGAAGTATTTCTGCTGGCAGAAAGAGGCGTGGAAGTTTGGTTAGGTAGCTTAGGGACCAAATAGAGTGTCTGTAAATGTCCAACTATCACTCCCCAACGAAAACAATGGGAGGCTTGAAGCTGTCGGTATTCCTTATCATACCTCAAAACAGAAATTCTATCATATCGGATAAACAATTCAAGGATTCTTGTTGTGTATGACAAGTAGTCCATAACAAAGTCAGTTGACGGATTCGATGAAATGAGGTGGGTCATTATACCAATATTAGCCAATGATAATTGTAGAAAAGTAATAGATTCCAGTCTGGGCTTCCGAGGATTGCTGCTACGTCGGAGAACAAGGTCCTCACCTCCTGCGGTGCTGAACACAATATCTTCATCGTCTCCCTGCATTGCACGGCCATAAGAAAACCCCGGGACAAAATCCACAATTTCCAAAAATTTAACTTTACCTTCAATTACATGATGCTGTTTTAACACCGATTGCGGGTTTTGCCAGGACAATTCACTAGTTAACTGTGCCGGTTGTTGCGATGTAGACTGTAATTTAGCGAACAAGGCGTTTACATTGTCCGAAGC